CCTCGCCGCTCCTCCTCCTCCTCTTCCTCCTCCTCCTCCTCCTCCTCCTCCTCCTCCTCCTCCGACTCCCTTCCTTTAACATTCCTTTTCTTGTTTTTCTCTGCTCCTCTTCGTGTCTTCTTCTGCTGCTCGCTCTCTTTATGCCTGTGGTGTCCCACCTTTCCCACCTTTCCTACCTTCCTTTCTTTTTGTCTCTCCCTCCTCCCTCCTCCCTCCTTTCTGCCTTATCTCCTTCAGGTGTCTGTCTGTCAGGAAATGATCACAGAATTCCGAAACGCCGTCTCCTGTAAGAAGAGTTCTCGTATGCGTCGCCGTCGGCCCCTCAGCAGCTCGGCCGCCCTTCGTCACCCCGCCCGTATAGCTCTGGGCGCCCCTCGCCCCCTGCGTCTGGTTCGGGAGATGCGCCTGAGCAACGGCAAGCTCTACAGCGGGGCGGGTCCGCTGACAGGGGGCGCTGGAGGTGGGGGGGGCGTAGGGGGAGGAACAGGACCTCCGGATTTAGGCCCCGGCCCGCAACGAATCCTAGATGATCCTCTCGGAGTGAGCACCACGCCCCCTCCGCCGGCCCCCACCCCGGTGATGCTGCCCTCCCGCAGCTGCGCCCACGTGAGGATCTGCCAGGAGTGTCGGAGGATCCAGAGCCTGAGGTCCGGCGGGACTTTAGGCTCGGCTTCAACCAGAATACCGCCCTCATCGGCACCTCTGCCCAGGCTCCCCCCGCCCCCCCCGCCCTCCACATCCAACACAGACAGTGAGGGCGGAGGAGGGCCCAGTCCCAGGCGGCTGCACCACAGCCCCCCACCTCATAACCCCCGCCCCATCGTTCCTCCTCCACAGAGCAGCAACACCACAGACCTACTGATGGACCAGGACTGAGAGCGGGCGCGGTGGTGCAGCGGGCGGGGTGACAGGTCAAAGGTTTGAAGACTCTGCAGATCCAGGACCGGGTCTGGAGAAACATTTGCCCCGCCCGGGGTGAAAGTGCAGCTCTGTGGGAGGACGTGGCGTATCCGTGCCGATGATTTCCTGGTGTTGATTTGGGTTGTGTTTTTCATGACGTTGACATTGTCCTCAGTGGAATTACAACATGACTTCAGCCTGTGTGGAGTAGAACTGACAACCTGTGAATCTGGTCCAACTGTGTTTAAGAGTTTTGTGTCCCTCCTTGTGCCCCGTAGCTGACGTTTGAGGGAGGGGGAGAGAAAGAGGGAGGGAGGGAGGGAGGGAGGGGGAGAGAAAGAGGGGGAGGAGGAGGATTCAGCCTGAATGTCTGCGTGTTTGTAAAATAATTTGCTTCCTGTAAGTCTGTCTGTTACTCCTCACAGTCAGGAGAACCCTGGACCTCCTCCTCCCCCTCCTCCCCCTCCTCCCCCTTCTCCTCCTACTGATGGGGTTCAGTCAGACAGTCATGGAGGGGTGAGAGGGGTGAGACGAGAAGAGAGGGAGCGAAGACGTCAGAATGTGGAATGATGGTTCCTCGTTATCTTGACATCAAACGAAATGACTTTTTTTCAACTCTCTTCAAACAGTGTCAAAGAAACAGGGAGAGAGAGGGGGAGGGGGTGAGAAAGGGGAGAGAGAGAGAGAGAGAGGGTGACTGCCAGTGAGGGAGCCCTCTCTGAACCACTTTAATTATTCACTCTGTCCTCTGCTCAGTCCGACTTCCTCTCAGGCGTGTGTTTCTGTGCCAGCAGA